CCCCAAAACCCCAAAACCCCAAAACCCCAAAACCCCAAAACCCCTTTTGAAATGATCTTATTGGATTAATTACCTGAGTATAATAATTAACAGAAATGAGTACCAAAGATACTACTAAGAGAGGAAGAGGATCAACTAGAGGCACTAGAGGCACTAGAGGTGTCACCAGAGGTACAAGAGGAGCCCCAAGAGGACATCGTGGAGAGTCTAGCGGTCATAGAGGAAGAGGTGGCCATAGAGGAGCAGCTAAGAGGTCTGGTAGTAATCGAGGATCAAAAAGAGGAGCGAGAAGTCATAGAGGAGCATCCAGAGGCACAAGAAGTTTTAGAGGAGGCACCAGAGGAGCTATTAGAGGAGGAAAAGAAGTGTATAGAAGAGGTAGAGGAGGAACCCCAGGAGGAAGAGGGGGATTCCGCCCAAGAGCTGAAGAGAAGAAAGGACCTAGCATCGAAGATATTCCTATTGTACCTCCAGAGGCTACTTTTGAAGAAGACAAAGTTGAAGGTAATCTTAAGTATGATATATCTTTAGGTGTCACAAAGAAAGGAAGCTCTCAAGACGGATATCCTTTTGAAGGTCTTTCAAAGAAATCAAGCTATACTTCGCAAGAGTATTGTCAAGATGATTACGGATATTATGACGATATCGGGTATTTTGATGATTATGGACACTACAATGATATTGGATACTTTGATGAGCATGGATATTATGATGAGTATGGATACTTTGAATTAAATGAATCAGGAATGAAGGTATATGTTGAGGGAAACTTGGAAGATTCTTTTAAAGAGTATCAAGATAGCTCTGAAAGCTCTCATTATGGGAAAAATAAAGGAAAGCATCATGATAAGCATCATGATAAACATCATGATAAGCATCATGAAAAATCCCATGGCAAACAACACCATGATAAAAATAAAGAAAAGGGTCAAGGCAAACAGAAAGATTCTAAACAAGTTGGGAAAAAGCAGCATCACGATAGGTCTGAGCATAATACTGCTAAATTTAATCCAGACTTCAAAGAGACAAAGGGTCACAAGAATCAGCCAAATCTATCTAAATCAGGCAAAGATCATAAAAAGGAGCATAAATCTGACCAATCAGAGCCAAAGAATGCTAAAGGAAAAGGCCAGAAGCATCCTAAGATTCCTGTGCATCATGGAAAAGGACCAAAAATGACTTTCTTGAATAAATACGAGTCTCCCAGCGCTTCCTTCCCTGCCCCAATATTTTCACATGATTCAACTTATTTCCCTAATCATTGGGCTAGAAACATAGAGCTGAAAGCAGAGTCAAAGGAAAAGAAGGTTCAAAAGCCAAAGAACTACGACAAATTTGTCAGCAACTTCGAGAAGCTCACTTCAGCTACTGAGTCTACGACCCAAAAAGCTTCCCTTGAGATGACTAAGAAAATTTACCAAGACGTAACAAATGGCTTGAACAGTGAAGATCCATACTTACTAAAATATGGGCTTCCACACTCTGTGATGAAACACTCCAAATTCAATTCAGGCTCGAAGGACTTTGAAGCCCATTACGATTGGAGCACTGTTGAGAAAGGCCTTAAAAATGGAGACTTCATCGAAGGAGGATTCAGAGCAAATGAATTCAACGGCAGGGTTGGCTATGTCGGAGTAGAAGGCCTCGAAAATGATGTTATAATTTTAGGTGAAAAAGATCAAAACAGAGCAATGGATAGAGACCTAGTCGTCCTTAAAATGATCGAACCTAAGTGGTGGGACCCCATGCGTGGTAAATCCGGAGGTCAAGACAATGACAAACCTATTGAACAGATCATTGAGGAGAATACTCACAAAAAGGAAGAAGAATCTAAAGAAGAAAGCAATAATATTCCTACAGATGAGAAAGAAGCTGAAGGAGAAGGCGACCAGGAAGATGATAATGAGGAAGAACCTCAAGACACTACAAATATCCAGGAATCTCCAGATGAAGAGACTAAGGAAGAAGAAGTCAACAAAAATGAAGAAGACAAGGAAGAAGAAAAGGATGAAGGCGAAGATTCTGAAGAACCTGTTACTGATAATGATCAGACTGTACTTGATATCATCAAGAAGAAGGAACATGACAGAAAAGAGAAAAAGGGAAAGAAGGAAGAAAGACAGGAGAATGGTTTAAGACTTCCTTCTGACATCAATAGTCAAGAAGACTTTGTTAACTGGGCCAACACTGTTGCAAAGGATTATAGACCAAGGGCCAAAGTAATCTACATCAAAGAAGCTGCTAGCTTTGACAAAGACTTAGTTATGATCTTAAGAGTAGGAGAAAAGAAATGGCTGAATGATGTGAAAAAGGCTAAACAAGAAGAAAAAGTTAAAATGGTTGAGAAAGCAAAGAAAGACTTAAAAGGAACATTCAGAAGACTAAAACTCTTAGCCGTTCCTATCAACAAGAAATTGAAATGGGCAATGATTGATAGCATCCCTGAAGATTTTTGGACTGATATCTTAAAGGGAGATGACCCTTGTAAAAGATATTACTTAAGTAGACTCATTTCTTGGAAACCCTCTGCCTTCAATCCAAAGTGTAACATAATCTCCAGTCTCGGAAGTGCAGGAGATATTGGGGCAGAGACCATGAGAATTTTAAAGCAATATGATCTCTTCGAAGCTGAATATCCTGAAGTTGTCCTTAACTCGTTGAAAAAGTACGAAGCTGACATTAATGAAGAGACTAAGGAATGGAAAATCCCTAAAGAGGAATTCAAGAAAAGAGTAGATCTCAGAGAAACTAGGATTTTCACAATCGATCCAGCATCTGCTAAAGACTTAGATGACGCACTGAGTATCTCAAAGATAGAAGATGATGTATATGAGGTCGGTGTCCATATTGCTGATGTCAGCTACTTTGTTGAGCAAGGAACTGATTTAGACAAAGAAGCGAGGAGTAGAGCTACAAGTGTATACTTCGTCCATTTAGTTATTCCAATGCTCCCAAGACTGCTATGCGAGAACTTATGATCTCTAAACCAGAAAGTTGAGAGACTTGCTTACTCTATCTTCTTCAGACTCAGAAAAGATGGAAGTATCATCAGAGAGTTTGAACCAAGAATTCATAGATCAGTGATTAGGTCTTGTGCTAAGTGGAACTATGACTTGGTTCAAGATATTCTTGATAAGAAGATCACAAAAATGGAGGAGATTGATGAAGAGCTTAGACCTGAAAATTACACATTTGAAGAAATGGCTGACGACTGCTTCTTATTCAATGAAATCGCTCATAACAGGAGGAAATGGAGGTTTGATACAGGTTCAATTTCAGTGGAAAATCCAGAGTACTACTTCCAACTTGATGAAAATAATCAGCCAATGCAATTCAATGAATCAAAGAAAATTGAAAGTAAAGAGCTTATTGAAGAATACATGCTTTTGGCAAACATGCTTGTTTCTGAATATCTTGTCAAATTTTGTAAAGATAAAGCTGTGCTTAGGACTCAGCTCCCTCCTAAGGAAGAAAAAGTTGAAGATATGATTGAGTACTTCGTAAAAGTAGGTGCTGATGTCGATTTGAAATCCTCCCTTACAACTCAGAAAAGCTTTGAAAAACTAAAGGCAGGAGACAACACAGCACTATACTATTGTTGCATGAGGAAATATTTCAGCAACATCAGAGAAGCAAATTATGTCACAAGAGAAGATAAAGATCCTTTGGAAGTGCGTCACTATTCACTTAACTTCGATCTGTACAGTCATTTCACTTCTCCGATCCGTAGATATCCAGATTTGCTTGTACATAGACAGCTGACTCTTGCCCTGGCACATCAAGAAGAGACTAGGGAAATTATTGATGGAATTGATTACAAGAAATATGTAGAGTACTGTTCTGACAGATATCTGACTGCCAAATATGCTTCCTCAACATGTACAAAGCTCTATCACTGTATTTTCTTGAAGAACACTCAGACTAAGGAAGGAGTGGATGCTTACGTATATGATATGACCATGAAATCAATTTCCTTCTATATCGCTTCTATCAACGTGAATTATAAGATGGATATTAGAAAAGATCCCAGAATCTCCTCTTCTCACGTCGAGGACAACTTCACTGCATATCTTCTCTTTAAGAAAGAAGGTGAGGATGATGAGAATGCTCAGCCTGAAGAACTCGACATTGAGGATGGCAAGATCGAAGAAGACGAAAGTCTTAAGGACAGACTCGTGAAGATCAAGATACTTGATAGAGTCAAATTAGTTGTAGGCACAACTAATGAAATCCCAATCGATCTGAAGTGTCTCATTTATAGAGATGACTCCGACTTTGATCTGGTTAAAAATGAAGAAGACCAGAAACTCGCTGAAGGCGAAGGCGAATAAGTCAATTGATAACTTATAGCCTTCCAATTGGTTAAAATATGGCTTAAGTTTCAATCCTAACTCAATATTAAGGGGTTTTGGGGTTTTGGGGTTTTGGGGTTTTGGGG